CTCACAACCCGATCCCCCAACACAACGATGCCACATGCACTTATACACATGCACACACATACACACTCACACATACACACACACATAGTAGAAATGTAGATTCATTCGTTGTCGCTCTTCCTATCGATCGAAGCAACACTCGATCAACCCGTGCGATTGGAGCACACTCATACAAACACTCACACGCACACATATACACATTCTCACATACACAAACACACACACGATCGTACACTCACACACACACCCACACTCTCACATATACACACACACATAGTATAGTAGTGGGTATCTTGAACGTTGCAGCAGGACATCCGATCGATTTTTGCTCATCACTTCGATGGAAGCTGCGTGAACCCATCCGCGACCTCAAAGGCGAATCGCCCAGGTAAGTTACTCAACGAATGGTTGGAAGTACTCCTTCTCTTTCTCTCTCTTATCTCTCCCCCTCTCACACGCACTTCGTGTTGTAACACATGCCACGTCAATCTCCACGTCGATCGGTCAAATCAATAGAGAGAAAGCGAAAGATCCATGTGTCACCTGTCTTCCCCCGAATAGAACAGCACACCAGATTGAGAGAGAGCGAGAGTAAGATAGATTAGCGAATGGGTGCAAGTTCTAGAGTCTAGCGTACCCTCTCTCTCGCCTTCTCTCTCTGTGTGCTTTCGCCCTCTCTCTCTCTCTCTCTCTCTCTCTCTCTCTCTCTCTCTCTCTCTCTCTCTCTCTCTCTTCCTGTACCAGGTACTAACCTCCGAAGGTGGCGTTTTGATGCACGTACCCCGTGGACGAAGCTGGAGCTATGGCACCACTGGTAAGTTTCTCTCTCGCCTCCCCCCCACCTTTCTCCTTCTTCTTCTTCTTCTTCTTCTTCCTCTTCTTCTTCTTCTTCCTCTAATTGATAAAGTTCAGTGAACTTTCCACAACACCCCCCCCTTCGGCGGCAAACCGCTGAGATCACTGCGATCCGGATACTTCACCGGACCATTCAATCGGTAGGAGCGACAACGGTGTGTACAAAGGACATAAACGTGATCATCACGACCCCGACTCTTCACCAGGCCAATCAATCGATAGGAGCTACGGATGGTGAGTACAAAGGGCAGGGTAGTAATCAGCACGAGCCGATGACTTGCGCTTTCTGACACTCTCGTTTAAGATCGATAGTTACAACACTCTACCCCCATCGCGATGAACCTTAAGAAGGTTACCCAGACCTTCCAATCCAGGCAAGCAACCGCTGGATTCGTCGGTGTAGCATGCATGCAGCCCAAGTAAAGCCCTCTCTTTCTCTCATACTCTCTCTCTCTCTCTCACAAACACACACACACGCGCGCGCGCACACACACACACATTCCATCGATAGGATGAGCAAAAACAGAATGAATCTTCCGATCCAAGTAGTGTGCGGCTAGTCTTGGGGTGTAAGCTCCTGATGAACACGGAAAGCACACGCACTTTTCTCGCGCTCAATCAAGGTCGGCCGGGCCGATGCCTCCAGTCCATCCGCCATGGCTACACGAAGGCCTACATACTCACGTAATCGCAATCCATTGATTGCATGTGAAAAAAAGAAGCAGAACGGGGGGGTGGGGGTAGAAGGGATATGCATAGCCAATTTTCAGCTGGCGATCGAGTTCCTGCTGCGCACCTTCCCCCCCCGAGATGGATTCCTTCCGATAACTGTGCAGACGACACCGCTGAGGCATTCGAAGTCAAGGCTGCCATCGCATCCAATCAGTCAGACGACGAACCCGTCTCTCTCTCCCTTTCATACACACATACACACGTACGGACGTACGCACATACACACACGTACGGACGCACGCACACACCCACAGTTGCAGTGAATGTATCTTCCCTGTTTTTAGAGTTAGGTTCATTTATTTTATTTTATTTATTTGCTTACTTATATTTTTATTTATTTGTTTATTTATTTTGTTTGTTTTGATCATTGATAGGGTCGAGGTGCCGCAAGATTTTAGACTTACCTCTTCACACTCCTCTTGCTTCGTCGTCGTCGTTGTCTATCGGAGTCGTCAGTCTGTCATCGTCGTCGTCGTCGTCATTAGTCCATCAGAGTCGTCGTCGCAATCCAATGTTATTCTCCCCCGTTCTCTCTCTCCTCCTCCTTCTCCATCTTCTCGTCCTTCTTCTTTCCTCTGAGTGATGAGGTTCAATGAACCTTCCACAACACCCCTTCCCCAGCGGTAGCGCCGAGATCACCGCGATCCGGACACTTCACCGGACCATTCAATCGGTAGGAGCGACGGCGGTATGTACAAAGAGCAGGGACGTAATCAGCGCGAGTTGATGACTCGCGCTTACTAGGCATACCTTGTTCAAGATCGATAATGACAACAGTCTACCTCATCGCGGTGAGTCTCATTTTCTCTTCTCCCTCTTTCCTTCTTATTTTTCTTGTTGTTGTTGTTGTTGTTGTTGTTGTTGTTCTTCTTCTTCTTCTTCTTATTCTTCTTCCTCTCTCCTTCCCTTTCTACCTTTCCTCTACTTCTCCTACCACCTTCCCAACGCGTTCCATCCGTTTTCGCGCGGCCATGCTCTTCCTCTCCGCGCACCACCTCTGCTGCTCCCCGCGCGCTATTGCGTTCTCCTTCTTTCCCGCACCCGTGTCCGAGTTCATTCGGCTCCACGATCTCCTTCCCCTGCTCCCGGCGGGGTCGGACAGACTCCAGTCGGAGCTCCTTCGACTGGTACACCGCACGCTATCCAGTTAAGAATCCGACACCTGATCCGCGGTTTATTCATCGGAGGAGAGCTTCTCGTTTGCATGTACCGAGCCATGCAAAAAAAAAAAAAAAAAAAAAGAAAAAAAAAAACAAAAAAAAAAAAAAAAAAAAAAAGATAATAAAAATAAAATTAAACAAAACAAAAATCTAACGAATTAGAAAGCAAAAGTAATAAAATAATAAATAATGAAAAAGGAAGTACCTACTATCTATCCCGTGGTGCCAACTGTTGGGCACGGGCTTGAACAGAAAACGAAAAGAACCAACTAACTAACTACCTATTGGAGGGCACGGGTTCAAGTCCCGCCCGAAGAGAACAAAGATGAAATCATGAGTGAGTCCGTTATCAAAAAGGAGTTCGCTCAGGGGTCGGGCAGATTCGATCCCCGAGTGTGATACTTGACAGTCTGCACCGTAACCCACTGAGCTAGCTCGTACTTCGGGTAGGAGAGGAGCAACTCAGATATATATTGAGGTGGGGCTCAGTCCGCCTAGTGGCCTGAGCCCGTTTCTAAGTCTGAGTTCGCGCACGCTTGTCGGCTGGCCTGCCTGAGTGCTTGTCGGCCTTAGTGTGTGTGTGACCCGCCGGACACTTGATTGCTTTGAAAGGCCTAAGGGGCGGTAGTTGCTTGTGCCTGCGACATTCAGAGTCGCGGCGGGAAAAGACACTCAAGTGGCGGGTAAAGAAGCCGGTACCTAGCTATGGCCACGACACTGAAGGTCGTGGCGGGGAAAACAATCAAGTGGCAGGTAGGTTGGTACTACACCAAGCAGAAATAAATGTGTCGGGTACTCGAGGCCGAGTAGGAGAAGACAAAAGTTAGCATTTTTAGACGCCCAATATCTAGTAGGTAGACAGGGACCAGCCCAAGTCTCAACGTGTATCATAGGCCTACCTGACATGATACTGACCCAATCAACCCCTCGACCTTTTCGGTCCGAGGGTATTGCTACTAATCCTAACCATCACAGTGCGCGTCAAGACAATGCGCGCACAGACTCTCAAAATTTTCTCACCGATTCGCCTCGGCCTCAATGGTCGAGGAAATCGTTTCAAGTGTCACGCCAAAGCGTGCTCACCCATTTCATCTCAGATCGGCTCCATCATGGTAGCCGACGCCGTCATCGTGTCAAATGCAAAAGCATGGCCAAATACCCTTGTAAGGGTATTTGATCCGACACCGTGGTGGCGAGCGAAATGATCGAAAAAGAGTATGGCGATGTCTTTGGCATTGTGCGAGGTGCTACAAGGAATGAAGTGGGCGCATTTGGTCAGACGACAAACAATGACATAGATGCAATCATGCCCACGGTCGGTCTTGGGGAGGCCGCACACGAAGTCCATGGAGATGGACTGCCACCGGTGGGTGGGGATGGGCAGTGATTGGAGCTTGCCGGGCTCGGTCCGGTTCGAGGGATTAACGGCCTGACAGGTGGGGCATGAGCGGATGTATGCTTTGATGTCGGCGAGTAGAGGAGGCCAATGGAAGTAGCGGGAGATGGTGTCGAAGGTTTTCTGGAAACCGAGGTGGCCAGCGGTCTTGGCGTCGTGGTGCTCGGCCAAGAGCTAGGCCCGAAGACCACGTGCGTTAGGGATGCAGAGTCGGCGAGTACCCTTGGTGTTAATGTAGAGTAGATTGTCATGGAGAGAGTAGTCAGGGACTGAGTCAAGGTTGCGGAGTTAGTAGTAAATGGAAGCGAAGTCTGGGCAAGAGAGGTAACCTTGGGTGTAGCGGCGATGTAACGAGGGAAGAAGTTGAATGTGGGTCATGGCAGCCTAGACTTTCTTATGGGGCTTGTGGTCAAGGGCGACCGCTAGGTCTTTGCGGCATACGCGCTTAACGGGGGAGATGAAGGCGAAGTCGCTGACGACATCAATGGGGATATGTTGGCGAAGTGAGCGGACGTATTGCAGAAAACGGTCGGTTGGGCCGTTTTGTTTGAGCCGACAAAATTGGTCGATATAGTCGTCGACCGTTTTTGTGGGTGGAAGGTGGAGGTGATGAGGGTGGCCCACTCAAAGAAGGTGTGAGGTCAGAGACCGGAGTGGTGGCGATTAGACATTTCGGTGTGAGGCCCGAGAAGGTGGGAATTTCGTTGACGCGGAATGATAGGGGGATTTTGCCTTCTCTGGGGTTAATGGTGGCAAGGGTGTTGAAATCAAGGGTGGGGGTGGGGGAGTCGACCAGGGTGAAATCATTGGCGGGGTTGGTGGGGATGAGTGCATTTGGGGGAATTAGTGGCGGAGCGGGATACACAGCTTGTGGAATCATCTGAGTGTAGTTGGGGATAGTTGAGGTGATAGTGGAGGTGGATAAGAGGGGTTTTGATTGGGGGGGGATGGTTGATGACAGTGTGGCGGAGGGGGTTTTCGCCCTGGGCGAGAGGGGAGGTGGAGTGGCCACGGTGGAGGTAGTGGTGGATGAAGTTGGCGGTGATGTTGATGTGGAGGTTGAAGCGGAGGCTTGTCCGGAGGAGGGGGTGGTTTGGGGTATGGAGGAGGGGGGTATGGTCGTGGTGAGGACCGTGATGGTGGGGGTGTTTCCCTCGAGCTTGGTGATGCGGTCGCATATGGCCGACAGGTTGGCCTTTATGTCCTCCAGAGAGGTGGTGACGGAGGTTTGGAGGGTGTTGAGTGCGTGGAGGATGGCGGAGAGGTCGGGGGTGGCGGTGTTTGCCGGTGGTTGTTCGCCTGCGAGGTTGCGGGCGATGCTATCGACCGAGTCGGTGCGGATGTCATACATGTTGATGGAGGATGCGGTCATGTCGAGGGAAGAGGGAGTGGAGGATGCAGCCGAAACGGATGCGGAGGATGTCGCAGCAGCGGTGACAGCATCGGCGGCGTCGGCATCCGCAGCGGCGCGTTGGGAGTTCTTGGTTTCGCGTGGTGACATGTGGAGGTGGGGGGGGCAACTCCTATTTGCAATAATAGAGCCTAAATTAATTTGAATTTATTTGAAAATGATTCGCGAGTGTATTTTTCAAGAAAATACGAAAGCAAAATTTTCAGGAATTTCCAAATGAAGAAAAGGAATAATTCATTCCGAGAAAAAAAAAAAAAAAAAAATTCCGACGAAATTTATTCGAATTTACGTTCGAGGTAAAATTTTATAATTTTGAAAATGGATAATTAATTCCGAGTAAAAGAGATTAATTCAGTCGTGAATTAATCGAGTTTAGTCGTAATTAATTAAGGAGTTAAAAAAAAAAAGGAAGTACTTCTGAACAAAAAGAGAATTTCGGAAAGGAATTGCGAAAAAGAATTTTTCGAATTTCAAGAAAAATTGCAAAAAGAAATTTTATGAACGGGAAAAATAATTAATTAGGATTATTTTCGAATTTTCAAAAGAAATATCAAAAAAAAATTAATTAATTCTAACGTATTTTTATTTTTTTTGGAAAAAAATTAACTAATTCGAACAAAAAAAAATTAATTAATTTTGAAATATTTTTAAATTACAAAAATTTCGAAAAACTGTTAATTAAAATTATTTCCTAAAAATATTTAACTAGAAATGTTTTCGAAAAAAAAATATCGGAAAAAAATAAAATAAAAATAAAAATAAATTTAATTAATTGTAAAATATTTTCGAATTACAAAAGTTTCAGAAAAGAATTAAGTAAAATTCTTTCTTCGAATTTCGAAGAAGAAATGCCGAGAAAAAGTGATTAATCCTACGTATTTTTTTTAAAAAGAAAATATTTTTTTTTTGAAAAAGAAATGTCGAGAAAGATAGTGAATTGTACAAGTATGAATTCTAAAATAAAAAAATAATAGATAAAGGAATGAATGAGTTTTGATGTAAATGGAGGGTGGGGCAATCCTATCTACTATTGATTGGGTGGTAGCGTGCTAGGTAGGGTACGGGTAGATTGATGATGATGATAATAATGATGATAGGGGGGGGGGAAAGCGGACTCGAGGGATC